AGTAAAACTTTAACAAAAAAAACATTTTTTATAGAGATATATAATGATGTGACAAACTGAATGATATTATAACATAACAAAGTATATTACTCCGCATAATAATATTGTAATTATTTTCAAGTTGGTCTCTAAAATTAAGCCTCGCACGAAATGAAATCCACGATGTCATGATACAGATCACATATTGTGTGTACTTATTAACATGATATATTGTGTATCATAGTGATATCATGATACAGATCACATATTGTGTGTACTTATTAACATGATATATTGTATGTCATAGTAACTAATGTTTATAAAGTATTTCTTACACGTTTAATTTCATTGGCACCCCTGAGGTTTATGAGAAGTTGAGAACTACACATCTATGCATAAATTTTTAGGCAATTTCTTGGTGACGCATTGATGCCTTAGTTATTAATCAAAGAATAATAGTTACGTACCTTTAAATATAATAATACCTCACAAGAGCATTGTTTACCCATTACAAACTCTTAGGTAGTAACTATGCATTTCTCTTGTCATCTAAAAAAAAAATTACAAGTTTTATTAACTTAGTACGTAGTACATAAAAATTGGTAAATAAACTGCTAATGTTGATGGATATAATAGACCCGGTCCAAACTTTTAAGCCCGAGAGGTGTGATGTAAACCTCTGGCGAAGCATGCAGATTGAGGGCCGATCTTGGGGGTGCTCGCGTTGGGAAGTCATGTTGACTAGCCGGACTAGGAATGAGCTCAAAAGATGTACCCAGGATTATCGAAGGCTACCTAAGGAAGTGGAGGTCGTATCGACTCAAGGTCCTGGGGTCGGCCATTACTTGGGCTCGGCCACCGGGGCCTGTCCACAACATAGAAAGAGGAAGCCGTGAATATGCTCGGGCGGCGAGGAAAACTTCTAGAGTCTGCCTCCATGGTCGGCTCATGGGGTTGACCTCTAAGGTAAGCCGACATGTCGGTTGGGCAAAGACTGAGTCTTGCGGAGTATTAGGGAAACTAGTTTAAATAGTGGAATCATTGTCTTGTTGAGGGAGGCTTTTTTGTCCTATTATAACATCATTCTTGTATTACATAAGCTGTTATACGAGCACTCTTGTCCTTTCTTTACACTATTTTCCATCATTTCATTTTTGTTTCATTATTTGGAATCGATTAATACTTAATACGAACCATGTTTTAATTTATTCCATCATTGGTACTTTCATTGAGAGCTTAAAATAGAAGCTTGAGCGTGCTCCATATTTATTATCATCTTCCATCCAACGAAACCACTACTTTAACCATGGCGAGATCGAGTTCACATAACTCCCATAACTCTCACCTCACTAGCGTCACTCTGGGTGGCTACCACCCCAATGGAAATGTAAGTTGGCAAACCTTACCTTTGGGTCAGATGAGGGACTTAAGATACAACTGGAACTACTACCAAGGTGGGGAGTAAACCTCGACTTCACCGTTGTTGACCCAATCCAGCCGACCTAGGACGTTTGAGCCGGGGTAACTGCTAGATTCGGGACCTAGTGCTTCTTGCTCCTGCAAACCCCGAGAGGAGAGGGCTAAGCGAGACACTAACCACAACTTAGTTCCCGCTAGGGCCAAATGCGGTGCCATCAAATCGACCTCGCTTAGCGACAGATAGCCAAGTAGAGGTTGAATCCAACTCACCTAGGAAGTCGAAGTGACATGATGGGGATACATAAGTTGAAGTTGTCATGAGCAAGAGGCCAACCACTCGACCCAAGCTAAGTCCACTTGGGAGCTGTTGGGTACTCAAATACCAGTATGTGAGTTCTTTGGACTGAGATCGGTGACAAACTCGACATCCCGAGGGAAGTCTAACACAAGAAGGACTATTGGTGTCACATAAATCAATATACACCTAGAGGCCGAACTAGGAATAAGCCCAATCTAGTAAACGAGCCAAATAAGCCATCCTCAAGATAACTCCAAGGTCATTACCCAAGTCAAAATGTGCCCAAAGGTCGACCTTAGAGGCCCGATCCCATGGTTAAAATGAGGAAGTTGACCTCAAAGACGACCTCGAGGTCGTCAGTCAAGTCAAAGGGTGTTCGGGGGTCCACCCCAAATACCCTCCTCAAGTTTGAATCGTGAAATCTAACCTAGTAACATTTTCCATGAGTTTTACTATTTCTTAAGGGGGCCTGAATCTATTTGACAACATCAATTCCCTAAGGGTGTTGAGAGGACCGACCTCTTCCAATTCTTCTAAACCCTCGCGCGGTGAGTCTGGGTCTCTTGCTCTCTAAGTAAGCTTCCGCCTCCCACCTTTGGCGCATGGCCTCCTCTTTATGCTTCGCCTATTTCTAGGCTCTAGTGTAGACTCCCAATTCTTCTTAGACTGCCTAGTCAGACGGTTAGGCATTTGACAAACAACCTGACTACTAAGCCTATCAAAGGCCGAAAGGGCACGCGGCCCCGACCCTAACCGCGAAGGGATGGAAAGACCTAGAACTCATTTGGAACAAGAATGAGCCTCCAACCGAGCCACTTGCTCAGCGGGTCGCGCTTTCCTGGGGTGCGCTACTTCTCTAGGAGACCTTGGCGGAGGGGTAGCTATTGGCCAACGAAGGCAGCCCACTCCTCCTTCTCCCTCTCATACATATCAAGCATGCGAGTCATTACCTTAGCCATGGTTAGTGCGCATAGCGCAGCAGAAGGCAGAGGAATGTCGCTCATGGAGGTATCACCCAACCCCTGGTCTCCGATCCGTTAGGCAATTGGATGGAACGACGATGCGAATCCAGGGATAGATACTATGAGTTTGGGCGGCTGAGTAGCTCACACAAGTCGCGGCTAGCAACACCTCGGCTAGCATTGATTCGAGCATTGGAAGTGGTGCAATGATTCCTTTCGGTGCAAACCATGATTTCAAATTAGTAGATTGCTTCAAGAACATGACTTTTCTTCAAGTCCCCACAAACGGCACCAATGTTAATTTCACGACTACTGGTAGCCGATCGGCAGGTCAACACTATCGTAATTAATGCTAAAATAGTGCGCGAATGATTTTATTGCCAGAAAATAGAAGTCGAACTCCTTACAATATGAGTCCAGGGGTATTTATACATGGGTGGCTGGCCCAAAGAAAGGAAATAAAAAGGTTTACAAATTGAGAATGGAAACTGGGGGATATGGTAGCATATCTTCCAATATCTCTAGAATGTCAATTTGGACTTCCGCTTCGCTACTGGTCGTCAAGTTGACCACCTTCCAATCTTGACTGCCTCACGGTGCCTACTGGGTACCTTGAGTTAGGTATCCATCAAAAATCAAAATTTTGTTTGAAAGCTTCAGTTTGGAGCTTCTTGCAAAATTGGTTTTTCAATGGTTTCTACTCTGTCTACCACGAAAGCCCTTTTTATATTTTTAGTGTTTGGGTCCAACCACTTAAGCTCCAAAACAAATTGGGCATTGTGACTAGTTTGATGATTACTAGTGTCTAACAAGAGGGAGAACAAGGAAAAATCACTATTATTATTATTATTATTATTATTATTATTATTATTATTATTATTATTATTATTATTATTATTATTATTTTATCAAAGAAAAGTGACTATTATAGTATTATTTCTATTTTGAAATAACATTTTCCTGCCTGTTTGTATGTGACTCATGTGAACTTTGTTTATTTCTAGTCAGAAGTAGCATCAAATTCTTAATGTGTAGAATGCTTTTTTAGCATGCTTCATTCCTCTGTGTCTACACATGCGCATAGATATAAATGTTTGTCTATTTTGTACCAAATAGAATTAGTAAAGGATATTCCTTTTGTCCAATTGATCATGTTTTCCTCTTTCCTCGTTGGAGAGGAATGCCTTTGGATTCTAGCACTCTATCAGTGTCAGCATTTCTCAAAATGAAGTTCAATGCAGAAGTAGAGACAATATGGAGCATGATGATCGAGACCGGATGCCACCCCCCTCCTGAAGTGCAGCAAACATGAACATGTGCTCCAAGTGCTATAAGAACATGCTATTGAAACATGAACAAGCTAAGCTTGCTACATCTGCAATTGGAAACCTTGTTAACAGAAAATGAGTAGCAATGAGATGGGACCTTTTTCCGGTAGGCTTTAGGGCTGCTGCCATCCCGAGCTTCAAGCTCTTCTGGGGTCTGTTGAGCTTAAGGTCAAGGAGGGCCCTAGCCGATGCACAACCTGCAAGAAACGGGTTGGCTTAACTGGATTCAAATGCAGATGTGGTAACCTTTTCTGTGGTTCACACTGCTACTAAGGTAAACATGACTGTCCATTTGACTACCACACTTGTGCTCGGGATGCAATAGCTCAGGCCAATCCTGTCATCAAGGCTAAAAAGCTGGATAAGATATAAGGACACTTGTCTGCTGGAATTTGGGTCTTAAATTAATCTGAGAGGGGCTTCTTCAGATTGGCTACATAGCTTCAGATCCTGGAAGACAAGGCAGTCAGTCAAAGAAAAAGGTGGAATGATCTCTTATTCTTTGTAATTGGTTTGCTTGAGTTTCAAGTCTGTATGTATTGATTTTCTGGGTTAAATTCACATGGAACCCTATCTAAATTGTATGTGCAAATCCATGTGGAAAACATCCATGGACATTATTGTGGTCAGGTGTGTGAATTATGCTTCCAGTTCTTGAGTACTACTGACTCTGTTACAATGTAGTATCTGTTCATAGTTACTTTCTCAACCTACTGAAGCACAAAGAGTCAATACCGCCCTCACTGGGGCTAAACCCATGTGGGAGAGCCACTTCATGTCACTAGACCACAAGGTCATTGGCGGCTAACTGATGTCTATAATTTCAGGTTAAAGTGATAAACCTTAAAAAGAACCTGATGTATATATCAAAACATTATGGCATTCTAAAATCTAACCACTCTCCTGAACATGGCTTCAAGTAAATCATTAAAATGGTTCTTAACCTTGTACTGAAAGTAATTGTCACAATGTTAAATGGGGGGACAAGTATGACAGGTGAAAATCATCATACAAAATTGGAGAAAGAGTGAATGGGAACAAGATCATTACTGAAAATGGAAGGGAGTCTTGAGCAACAAAATGAAAAGAGAAATCAATGGATACAACACTCTCATCTCTGAAAGTCATTATTATTCCACAGAGATGCATTTGGCTATCTGCATCACATGACTGCCCCTGCATGAACTATGATTTTACATCCAGTTCTACAAAGCTAAAGGAAGAGCCTACTCTCTTTTTGTTTCACAAAAACAAAAACTCACCTCCAACAGGTCGGAGCCCCTAAGAATTAGCATTGAAGAAGTTCATTCAAAGTTAAGCAAACAGATCACATTGAAATGCCACCTGATTCAGTCTCAAGATACTTGCACATCCTTTCCATCACTTCCCTGCCTTTAGCACTGTTTTGCTGGAACCTATCAGCACATTTCTGCTCTATCTTCTCCGCCATTGATGCCAACGCTGACAGGGGCTTTATCCTAATACTAGTTTCCTGCCTACAAATTGTCCATCCATTAGGATTCTCTGGATGAGGATCGTATCGGATCTTCTCTTCCACTTCAATGAACTTCTCAAGACTGATGTTACGAGTGGATATCTGCATTGAGCGAGATTGGGCATCCACAACAGTTGATTCAACACAATGGCAGGAGTCCTGACCGGTGATTTTGGAAATGAACCATGGTCCTGGAGCATGGATGGTGACAGCACGAGTAGTGTAAAGCTTCCCTGAACTGGAGTCAAGCTTGTGGTTCAAAGTGTCAACCGCACGGATGTGTGATAGAACGCGTTTGTTTTCAGGATCAGCAAACTTTCGCCACGATGCAGTAGTCACTCGCTCCCATGGATGCTTATAAGTGTGCTCTTGTGAATACGCTCTGACCATACTGTTTGTTCTCTATCTAGAAGCAACAAACACTCCACACATTATTTCCTTAGTGAGATCTTAAATACAAGTATATTGTAAACGAGCAGTTTATGTTATCAAAAGTGCTAAACTTTCCTCAAACAGAAATGTATTGACAAGATTTTAATGACCATTGCTTATACTGTAGCCAATATGCAGTAATCTAATAACTACATAGCGTATAACAACCTATCAACATTCCAACATACTATGTGATAAATACAGTATACACCTACAGCATTTAAGATTCAATTTCCCATATCAATCACTATTGAGCAAACACCTTTTTGCTGCAATATTATTCAAGCAATCATTCAAATCTGTGGGCAAAGAAAAAAGTAAAAGGGTACCAATGGCATTCACTTCTTGATGAGGTGCTTAGCAATATTTTTACCCAGATACACATATCTCCAAAGTCAACCCTCTACTGAACCAATGAAGAGAAGCTCTAACCTTTCATAAGCAATGTTGTAAATTGGGCACAACACTCAGATACGTATCAGTAAGTGGACCAATTATCTCCCTCATGGGAATCTCTTGTTAGCTCTACTAGTTGAGATTCTTGAAAATAGCTTAACCAAGAGAGAAACATAAAATGTTCCAATCAGGAATACAGCCATACACCATTTAAACTATAGGCAATACACTGCATTTGAAACTAGTAAGTTTTACCAAGGCTCAATAGACAAACACTTTCCATTTCTCATTCAAATTGGCGAGCAATTTCTAAATTGAGTACAGCACTAATGCCAAAGACAAATCTCATTTCACATCCCATAGGGTTTCCAAACTATTCATCCAATCTTCAATCTCGCTTTCTTTAAGCAACCAAAAGAATCATCACCCTAAAAGCCTGTCTTTCTAGAAATGAAGAACAAAAATATACCCACCAGTATCAACTATCAACTAAGAAATAGAACTCAAAATGCGATGAACTAACAAATTAACAAATTAATATAAACAAACAATTAAAAAAAATTCTATTCGATACGTGACGAAAATCCAAGAACGGATCGTTAACATACATCAGAATAATTACTAATCCACTTACATAAGAGCACGAATCGACGCCAAATCTTCAACAATTTAATTTCCACAACAGAAACGCAAAAAGACGATAATCTAAAAAAAAAGGGATGAGTGAGGATAAGCAACGATAAAAGATTTGAATGAGTAAAGATCACATATGTGAGTGAGAATCGAGATCAAAGAGGAGAAAGAACCTGGATTTATTATTATTGTGGGAGAGTGGAAAGCGCCCACAGAGCGGAAGAAGAGAAAATATTAAGAATGCCGTGGCGGTTTGAGCTCTGGTGCTTGCGCCGTAGGTTTCTTAACGGTGAACTCGCACGTCACTGCTTCAACTCCGTCTTGTGAAATGTTAAAAAATACGGAGTAAAAAAAAAAAAAGAATTGGCTTTAAGGTCATATTATGGCTATGTTTAGCAAATCTAGTTGAAAAGGTAGCTGCAAGCTGAAAAGGAGCTAAAAGCAGAAAAGATATAAGTTAGGAGTTGAAAACTGAAGAGCTATTATGCTTGAAAGTGTTTGTTAAAATTAGCTTTTTGATAAGCTGATAAATGTAAAAAGACAAAAAAAGATATCCTCATAAAATTTAAATTAGTTTGTTTACCTATTAAAATTTAACATTTTGTTTTTAAGAAAATTAACATTTTGAAATAAAACTATTAGCATAATCATGATTTAGCATCTCATAATGAAGTAGCAATATTGGCGCGAATCTCCTTCATATAATAATAATAATAATATTTGCGGTGAAAGTTGCGGATAAGGGAGGAGAGAAAATAGTTTTAACTGTGAAGGGTAGAAATATCATTTCTTTAAAATAAGAAAAAAAAAGTTAGCAAACTACTAGTTTATTTTGAAACGCTACATCGCTACTTTAGGTAACGTTCCAAAAGAAACTATTATTTTAAATTAAGAGCTTATTTTGGGAACATTACCAAATAGAGTTTATAACTTATTAGTAACTTAAAATAAACTATAAGCTCTTAAATAAACTTTGTCAAACAGACTCTATATCCAAATCTTTATATTTTGTTAATTTAATATTTAAATGTTATTTTTTGAGATGATTATATTTAATTATAGTTCTTTTTTAAAATATATATATTTAATTTTAAAAATAATTTGATTCTCCAGATTTAAGTATTAATGGGTGACTATGATGTTTGAACATGATTTTATCTTTTTATTTTATTTTATTTTTGTTGCTTTCCTTTTATGTATGCAAAAATGTTTTCAAAAAAAAAATGTATGCAAAAATGTAAAATGTTGTCTTAAGTTTGAGGTAGGACATCTCATCGTATTACCTACAACAAAACTAAAACTCTGCATTGTGCGACAGTCAGTAAAGCAAAGCCTATTAACTTATTTATGAGTTAGTTAATCAAGTGAACTATGTCCAGAGGGTTAATGAAATAGACATTTTTATATAATTTTTTAAAAATAATGTTATATTGTACTCTTAAAAATAATTTATGCATCAACTTAAGAAAGTCAGGTATGTTGAAGGATTAAAAAGAGTTAATTTTAGCAAAGGTGTAACAGGCAGGTTGGGATGAGGATCGAGTTCGGAGTATTTTTTATGTCCGGGATGCCGCTTTAATTATGAACATTCCTATTTCGGTAAGAAAGCCGCAGGACTCGTGGTACTGGGTGTGGGAACTGAAAGGGGACTACACTGTTAAATCGTGTTACCGCCGGCTGAAAGGTGAGTTCAATGGTACCTGACCATGGGCACGAATTTGGAATCTAGATGTACCTCCAAAAGTTAAACAATTCTATTGGCAACTAGCTTCTTCCTATCTGCCAACTAGAGATGCGTTACAAGCGAAAAATATTCATTGCAATTTAATTTGTCACATGTGCAGGAGGGAGTCTGAGAGTGCTTACCACCTGTTTGTCCAATGTACAGAAGTTGCTAATGTTTGGGGATAGATTGGACTGCCAACGATGGGGGTGGCTCATGGTAATGTCATTGACTGATTTTTTGCATTCATTACTTCTTTGAGTGGGGATGTTTTACACCAGTTTGTTATGGCATGCTGGGGGTTGTGGCAAAGTCGGAATGACAGTGTTTGGAAGGGGGTTATATTTGATGCTAATAAGATGTTGCGTCGTGCAATTAGTTTCTGGAATAATTGGATCTCTGTTAATCTCAAAGACCATGCAGGGCACACGGCTGGGTTGTGTGAGCAATGGAGGCCGCCACCTTTAGGCGTTTGAAGCTGAATACGGATGCATCCCTGAACACTACAACAAACTCAATGGGTCTAGGCTGGGTTCTGAGGGATCACCAGGGCGTGTTTTTGGCAGCAAAGAATATCTGGTTGAATGACATCTGCGTACTGTTAATGAAGCAGAGGTAATTTGTGTACGAGAAGCATTAAGCTGGTTGAAGGACACAGGCATGGGGTGTGTTGATGTAGAGATGGACTCAAAAACAGTTTTTTATGCACTTTCATCTCCTTCTTTTTACTCTTCCTTTGGACTACTAGTTGATGATGTAAAGGATTTGACATCAATGATTGATGATGTTCAATTCCGTTTTGTTAAACGATCTGCGAAAATTGCTGCCCATACAGTTGCTAGGGAGGCTTGTTCTGAGTCAGGTTGTGGGGAGTGGTTTTATGTCCCTCCTAGTTTCCTTGTGGACTGTCTTTATCATGATTTAATACATTAAGTTCATCTTTTAAAAAAGAGTTAATTTTAGATTTATTCTCTGATTATCATTCACTTTTAATTTTAGTCATTTAACTTTTAAAGCTATCAAATTTAGTTCTTGAGTATTGAATCTTTTTCAATTGTAATACATTGTAAGCTTTTTCCTTGTGCGATCTATTAAAATTGAGGGTGAAATTAGGGTTACTAGAATAAGAAAATTAAGACTTTATTCTCTGTGTGTGAGAAAAAATTGGCGCGGTCATGACTTTTCAAATTTACCTTCAATATTAACAATTCACACATGGAAAAGCTAATTATGGATTAGAATTGAAAATAATTTAATACTCAATGTGGTACCTTTAAAAATCAATGACTAAAATAAGAAATGAGTGATAATCAAAGTACTAAATTCAGAATTAACTCAATTAAAAAATATAATCGTTACAAAATATAAATATTTAATTTTAATTTGTCAAATTTCCAAGGGTCCATCCTAAAAATTATTTACCATATATTTACATTACCTTTGTGATGAAATCAAATAGCTAAAATGGACCAAAAAGTTTTTTTTTTTTTTTTTTTTTTTAAATCATTTACCAAATAAGGTTTTCTATTTCTCTAATCTCTAGTAGATGGTAAATGGCATTCTTCTCTCTCATCATTCCCCCTCTATTGTTGTCAGCTTGATTAATTGCCTCGCCTCAATTACTTGGTTTATAATAATAGTATTTGTCACATACCTTTTAATATAGTATTTGTCACATACCTTTTAATATAGAGTTAATACCCAAAATCGTCTTCGACTATAGTGGTTTTTCTCAATTTCGTCCTAAACGACTTTGGTGACCTAATATCGTCCCAGACTTTTGTGTTTCGCTCAATTTAGTCCTCCATTTGTTATTCCATCAAATTGGTGTTAAATAAAGGGACAATTCAGTAATGTCAATATTGATCTCTCTTTACTTTCAACTTGTGAAGTGCGAAATTCCTCTTTCTTGTACGAATTACACCCAGAATTACTCCCAAACCTGCAAATCAAAATTTATATTCGCAGTTTTAGGAGTAATTCTGGGAGTAATTCGTAAAAAAGAAAAGGGATTTCGCAGTTCACATGTCTATGAGTAAAGATATGCCAATATTAAAATTACTGAATTGTCTATTTATTTAAGAGTTAATACCCAAAATCGTCCTCGACTATAGTGGTTTTTCTCAATTTCGTCCTAAACGACTTTGGTGACCTAATATCGTCCCAGACTTTTGTGTTTCGCTCAATTTAGTCCCAGATTTTTGTGTTTTTGCTCAATTTAGTCCCTCATTTGTTATTCTGTCCATTTGGTGTTAAATAAATAAACATTTCAGTAATTTTAATATTGGCATCTCTTTACTCATAGACATGTGAACTGCGAAATCCCTTTTTTTTTTTACGAATTACTCCCAGAATTACTCCTAAAACTGCGAATATAAAATTTGATTTGCAGGTCCGGGAGTAATTCTGGGTGTAATTCGTACAAGAAAGAGGAATTTCATACTTCACAAGTTGAAAGTAAAGAGATATCAATATTGACATTACTGAATTGTCCCTTAATTTAACACCAATTTGACGGAATAACAAATGAAGGACTAAATTGAGCGAAACACAAAAGTCTGGGACGATATTAGGTCACCAAAGTCGTTTAGGACAAAATTGAGAAAAACCACTATAGTCGAGGACGATTTTGGGTATTAACTCATTTATTTAACACCAAATGGACAGAATAACAAATGAGGGACTAAATTGAGCAAAAACACAAAAGTCTGGGACTAAATTGAGCGAAACACAAAAGTCTGGGACAATATTAGGTCACCAAAGTCGTTTAGGACGAAATTGAGAAAAACCACTATAGTCGAGGACGATTTTGGGTATTAACTCTTTTAATATATTATAAAAGTATGAAATGATATGGCATGACATTCAAATCAATGATAATCAATATTTTACATTAAAAAAAAAAAAGAAGGTAAAAATTGCTTAGTTGCACTTTTTAAAGTTTTATTAGTAGAATGTGGTTTCTTCAAAAAAAAAAAAAGTTTTATTTGTAGAAAAATGCAAACATTTACGATTCATTGCAATTATATTTAGACCTTTAAAATTTGACAACTTTTAATTTGGTTAGACCACGAGATGTCTTGAAAATGTCCTAATTAGGAGACATTTTTAAGCTCGTATCATACTCATACTAATCACTGTTCGCACGGGATTATCCTAAAAAAAGAGAAAAGTGCTGTCAGATTGATTTTTTATTAGAGAGGGGATTTGAATTCCCAACATCACTTAAGTGATAAGAGTGCACGGCCACTCACACTAACTAAACTGGTTAAAAATTTGACAACTTAATATGAAATATTTACATTTTGAAGTAATTTTGTCCAATTTTACTATTGAACTCACTATTAGGATGACCCAACCCAAAATTGTTGAGTTGGACTATTATTTGACAACTAAGCATCTACATCATCATATAATTTAACACTATTATCATAAATTTTCTAATATATTTAGAATTATACACTAGTATAAAATTATTTTTCCTTATTTTCTCACTTGGAGATTTTTTTTTGGCAATGTTTAATAATACAATTTATTTTTCATTTGAATAACAAAAATTAATTTCTTTATTTGTTGATTTTATAATGCTGAAATGCTACTTTCCAATGTATACCAATAATACAGTACTAATCTGTCAAAAAAATTTATTCTGTTGTAAATAAATACATGCATTTTGATATTATTAGAAGAATTCTATATAGTATGACAATATCTCTTCATTCTTTGTAGACTTTTAGTTTTACATGAACTTTGTACACCGTGTGTTGGTTTTAGGGTTTTTGGGTTCAGGGAGGTCCAACACAACCTTGGTGGATTCACCTTTCAAAAATAGAAGAAAAATAATAGCTCTTGTAAGTGTGTGTATGTTCTTGGCCTGAACTTGCCGTCCCCCTTTACATTCTTGAGGAGTCCCTTTTGGGAAAGCTACGTCCGCGACGGCAAAGGCGCCTGCATGCACAACGACCTTCTGGATCGATCGCGGTCTAATCACTGTAATTCCATCATACTTGCTTCTTCTGTGTTTGCATCACTGTAATTCCACCATACATGCTTCTTCTGTGTTTGCATTTGACTCCATTCCACCACACTCGGTAGCGGAGATATTCCTCTCGGCCGGAAACTGGCGGTGATATTCCTCTTGGCCGGATGGCGGCGATGGCGGATCCTGGTGGTTTGTAGCTGGGAAGCCGTGAATAACTGCTTCACCACCAATCTCTAACTGTCCAGAATTTTCCAATATGGAGTTGGAGGTCTTCTTTAGACTTTTCCTTACTTTCTCAATCTCATTTCCTTGGTGCTCAGAGACAGATTTTAGCGAATGATTAGTGGCTCTTCTTCGGCCAAAACAGTCGACATGAACGAGTGGTTCCGGTAGTTAACGTTGAATTTGATCATGAAGATCGTCGCCGGGAAGCGGTTCAAGTTTAGGGTGAAGGAAGACGACGATTGCGATGAGTACAAAGAGGCGCATCATATCATTGAGGTGTTTAAGGAATTCTTGTACCTTAACAGCAGTTCGTGTTCTCCATTTCTGTTCTGATCTGGATCGCTTTCGTGTTCGAAGATGCGGGAGGAGCGTGACTTTAGTCTTACCCAAATTGGAGTGAACATGAAATGTCGATTTTGCCCTCCCATTTAAGTTAAATTGTTGACTTAAAATTTTCCGGTCATATTTGGCCGGCGTGACTAAAATTGATAAAGATTACATTGTCAAGGTACTAAATTAACATTTTTGAAAGTCAAGTGTTGCAATTAACACAAGTGCAATAGTTAGTGGACCAAAATTGAAATTTTCTCCTAATTTTTATTTAAATTTAAAACTTTTTAAATTTGGCGAGCCCCCGCCAAGGCCCGCAGGCCGGCCTATTTATGCACGTATTTTGGAGGACTTTTTAACTTAGTCCCTGTCATATGGTGCGCTTTGGCAGGCCCCACTCCGCCGACTGTTTCGACAGCTCTAATCTAGATATAAATCATTATTCAGAAACATGCACATACCAAAGATTAA